GCACTGGTAAAGACAGTCCGTTTTATGTTATAGTGTCACAGTAGCCTTGTGACCATTATAATGCCCCCCTGGTCTCTCCATATTCCAGTAGAGTTCCTCTGCCCGTGGCAGGCTTGGCTCTCCACCAATCTGCTCCTAGACCAGGAAAATGCCTTCAGGGAAGAAACCAGCCAGATTTCTGCTCTTCTAAGAGCAGCTCATCCTCTGGCATTTAATTCTCTCACTCCTTTTTTTGTCCACAGATTTCCAGGGTCTTTGAAGATGTTAATTCACTATTAATGTGGGTTCCTGTAAATGTCTACAGCCAATTTGGAAGTGGAGCTGTATAACTCTGGAAGTTTTGGAATCTAAATCAGTTTGGGAGAATTCAGTCTTTTCAGAATTTGGCCTATGAATGTCTCAAATTCGTTTAGGTCATTTTAATGTTTTCAATACTGTCTTCAAAACAATTTTGGTAAGTTTTAAATTTATTCTTCCGTATATTATACTATTGTTGCTCTCATAAATGGTATCGACCTCTAAATTTTATTATTTCTATTCCTGAGTATAAGTTGCAAGTTTACCTTTAAAAGAGTAAACATTTTCATTAATTCTAGTAACTTATATATAGATCCTTTGAAATTTTCCATTTAGATAATATTATAAATAATGACAGATTTACTTCTACTTTTCTGGTCCTTAGGTTTTTAAATATCTTTTATTAGCCTGCCTCACTTAAGATTCCAGTAAAATACTAAGTAGTGTTTTTAATAGTGGATACCATTATCTTCCTGATTTTAAACTCATTTTCCACCATTGTTTACTTTTGCATTTTTATATAGTGTTTATATTTTGAAAGATTTTTCTCAGTAATACTCTTTATGGCTTTTTCTATATTTACTGAGATAATCCTTTTTTTTTCAATAATATGTTAAATGCTTTGAACACTGCCTCATTCATTTTAGGTGCCTAGTAATTATTAGTATGAGTAATGAGTAATAAGCCTATTTTAAAAGTGAATTGTATTGATTTTTCTAATGTATAACCAACTTTGCATTTCTGGATAAATTTAAATTTGATATGATGGTTTCTTTAAAAAAAAAAAAAAAAAGTACCCAGTTTCAGCCAGGCATGGTGGCTCACACTTTTAATCTCAGCACTTTGGGAGGCTGAGGTGGGCAGATCATGAGGTCAAGAGATCGAGACCATCCTGGCCAACATGGTGAAACCCCATCTCTAACTAGCTGGGTGTGGTGGCGCATGCCTGTAGTCCCAGCTACTCGGAGGCTGAGGCAGGAGAATTACTTGAACCCAAGAGGCGGAGGTTGCAGTGAGCTGAGATCACGCCCCTGCACTCTAGTCTGGCAACAGAGCAACACTTCATCTCAAAACAAAAAGTTTCCTTCTATCTTGTAAACTATTTTTGAAGGTTTTCAGGCTTTATTCTGTCCTTGTCTGAGTTTGTTATCCTGCCCTCATATATTGCCAGAATGTGTTGTTTTTTTCTTCTTTTTGAAATAGAGTTTCGCTCTTGTTGCCCAGGCTGGAGTGCAATGGCGCAATCTCAGCTCACTACAACCTCCGCCTCCCAGGTTCAAGTGATTCTCCTGCCTCAGCCTCACAAGTAGCTGGGACTAGAGGCATGCGCCACCATCCCCAGCTAATTTTTTCTTTTTGGTAGAGACAGGTTTTCTCCATGTTGGTCAGGTTACTCTCGAACTCCCGACCTCAGGTGATCCATCCACCTCGGCCTCCCAAAGTGCTGGGATTACAGGCATGAGCCACCATGCCTGTCCCATAATGTGTTGTTTTTCCAAATTCTCAAAGTGTTGTCATATTGCTGCTTTTCTGTAGGGTAGAAACTTCACTAATATAGTCATCTGCAGATGGGTCAAATGTGTCAATATTGTGCCTCCAGAAACCAAAAAAGCTTACTAAGCATTATGCTATTTGTTGTTAGTAGCACAAATTGCAGCAATTTTCCTTTCACTTTAGGGGGAACATCTGGGCAAGCTCCAGACAACTGAACCCCTAGAAACTTCAGGTGGTTAGCCTGAATGTTTGGGTCTATTCCCCAACAAACATCTTACTCACCTATGTCTTATGAAAGAACTCATAAAGGCATCAACAGAGAGGACAAGTTGTGGGATGTAAAGATGACCATACCTGGTGGATGTTATTGTAAGCAACAGTGTAACTGATGTAACGCTGAGAAAAAGTTGCTCCTGGTTGTCCTTACAGTTTGAGAAAATGGCATTTCTAAGTCAGTAGCTCACATTTATATCAAGTAAATTAATGAAAATTATTACGGGAAATCTATGGATACTAGATAAGAGTAATAGGACAATTTGCCAGAAACATAAAATGAGTAAACCCATTTGTACCCAATTGTAATGCCCCCCAAAAAACGAGAAACAGATTTTTATTTTTTCCTGAGACAGTCTCGCTGTGGCCCAGGCAGAAATGCAGTGGCATGATCTCGGCTCACTGCTACCTCTGCCTCCTGGGCTCAGGTGATCCTCTCAACCTCAGCCTGCAGAGTAGCACACTACTATACCTGGCTAATGTGTGTGTGTGTGTATTTTTTGTAGAGATGGAGTTTCAACTCATTGGCTGGGCTTGAACTGGTAAGCTCAAGTGATCTGCCTGCCTTGTGCTCCCAAAGTGCTGGGATTCCAGACACGTACTACTGCACTGGCCTAGAAAGAAAGATTTTTTAAAAAACAATTTGGCTGGGTGCAGTGGCTCACACTTGTAATCCCAGCACTCTGGGAGGCCAAGGCAGGTGATCACTTGAGATCAGGAGTTCGAAACCAACCTGGCCAACATGGTGAAACCTTGCCTCTACTAAAAATACAAAAAGGTAGCCAGGCGTGGTACCATGTTGCCTGTAATCCCAGCTATTTGGGAGGATGAGACACGAGAAATCACTTGAACTTGGAAGGCAGAGGTTGCAGTGAGCTGAGATCACACCACTGCACTCCAGCCTGGGCAACACAGCGAGACTACATCTCAAAAACAAAAAAATTAGAAAAACCATGGTTATAGTATGATGTCTTAACATACTGAGAAGTGACAATGTGCCAGCAGCCCTCACTCTCAGTGCCTACTCGGCCTCGGCATCCACTCTGGTGGCACTTGAGGAGCCCTTCAGCCCGCCACTGCGCTGTGGGAGACCCTCTCTGGGCTGGCTGAGGCCGGAGCCAGCTCCCTCTGCTTGTGGGGACGTGTGGAGGGAGAGGTGTGGGTGGGAACCAGGGCTGTGCACAGCACTCATAGGCCAGTGCGAGTTCCCGCAGGCACGGGCTCTGCAGGCCCCACATGTGGAGCGGCTGGCTGGTGCCGCTGGCCCAGGGCAGTGAGGGGCTTAGCACTGAGGCCAGCAGCTGTGGTGGGTGCACCCAGTCCTCCAGCAGTGCCAGCCCGCTGGGCCTAAGCTGTCTCCCTGTGGGGCAGGGCTCGGCACCTATAGCCCGCCATGCCCCAACCACTCCACCGTGGGCTCCCATGCAGCCCGAGCCTCCCTGACCAACGCCGACCCCTGCTCCATGGTGCTCAGTCCCATCAACCACCCAGGGGCTGAGGAGTTTGGGTGCATGGTGCAGGACTGGCAGGCAGCTCCACCTGCAGCCCCAGCATGGGATCCACTAAGTGAAGCCAGCTAGGCTCCTGAGTCTAGTGGGGACTTGGAGAACTTTTATGTCTAGCTAAAGGATTGTAAATGCACCAATCAACACTCTGTGTCTAGCTCAGGGATTGTAAATGTACCAATGAGTACCCTGTCAAAACAGTCCAGTCAGCTCTCTGTAAAGTGGACCAATCAGCAGGATGTGGGTGGGGTCAGATAAGGGAATAAAAGCAGGCTGCCTGAGCCAGCCAGCGGCAACCTGCTCAGGTCCCCTTCCACACTGGAAGCTTTGTTCTTTTACTCTTTGCAATAAATCTTGCTGCCACTCACTCTTTGGGTCCATGCTGCCTTTATGAGCTGTAACACCTTGAAGGTACGCAGCTTCACTCCTGAAGCCAGCGAGACCACGAACCCACCAGGAAGAACGAACAACTCCAGACGTGCCACCCTTTAAGAGCTGCAACACTCACCGCGAAGGTCTTCAGCTTTACTCCTGAAGCCAGCAAGACCATGAACCCACCAGAAGGAAGAAACTGCGGACACACCATCCTTAAGAACTGTAACACTCACTGCGAGGGTCCGTGGCTTCATTCTTGGAAGTCAGTGAGACCAAGAACCTACCAATTCCGGACACAATATCACTCTCGATTATAGAGATCAGGAGACAGTTTGTAAATATACGACTTTTTTTTTTTTTTTTTTTTTTAAAGAGTTGGGGTCTCACTCTCTTTTCCAGGCTGGAGTACAATGGTGCAAACATGGCTTATTGCATCCTCAACTTCTGGGCTCAAATGATCCTCCTGCCTCTGCCCTCCAGAGTAGCTGAGGCTACAGGTGTGCAGCTGGTACCCAGCTAATTATTCTTTTTTTTGGTAGAGATGGGGTCTGTGTTGCCTAGGCTGATTTCAAGCTCCTAGGCTTAAGTGATCCTTGTGCCTTAGAAAACACAATTTTTCAACCGTACTTGAAAGAGTCCTAAAACTTGACCATAATATTAGATGTAACAGTTGGGACTGAAATCAGCTGAAAGAGGAACTTCCCACAAGAGTGGTTTAAACCACGTGGCAGTTAATTTTTCTCTTGTAATATGAAACCCAGAGATAGGCAATACAGGATTAGTGCAACCAGATAATATTGCATCTCCCCTGTTGTTTCATTTAGTATCCTTTCTCTGTCCTCCTCTTGGTGTATATATTTTCTAGGAAATAAGGGATAAGACAGAGGGCAAATAGTTAAGAAAAAAAATGCCAGATGAGATATTGCCATTTCCATGAGCTTCCTCAGAAGCTGTATCCAGCGACTTCTGCCTACTTTGCATGGGCTAGGGATGTGGACACATTTGGCCACTCACAGCTGTAAGGAAAGCTGGGTGAAAACTGTCCACATTGCCAGCTTGAACTAAATAGTAAATTTTATTACTTTAACAAAGAAGGGAGGAATCGATATTGAGACAGCAACTAGTTCTGTCTGCCTCAGTACATCAGTGTCCAGCAATTATGTTCAAATCTATATCACAAAGAATCTACATATTGAAGACCATGTATTCTGTTCACAATGGAATTAAACTGAAAAGATAACTATAAGATCTACATAATATACTTAATAAGTTGTGACACATAAGAATGAAATACTCACTGATAAAAAGAATCAGCACTATAACATTTATAAGGTTTGTCCCAGTGTAACAGCCAGCCAGAGTTGGGCCAGAAGGCTGTTTCCATGTGGCCATAACAGGGCTTCTCTGCAATGTATGTTCTGAAGTGAGAAAGGAGGCATGAGGGGCAACAAACACTTTCCTGTCGTCATTTCATTCATGGAGTTCCTGGCCAGTGTGGATTCGCTTGTGCATTATAAGGTTAGTGCTTGTGCTAAAGGCTTTTTCACACTGAATACATTTGTAAGGCTTCTCTCCAGTGTGAGTTCTCACGTGTACCCTCAGGCAAGAGGAATTCCTAAAGGCCTTCCCACATTCTTTACACTCATAGGTTTTCTCACCAGTGTGAGTTCTCTTGTGCACAATAAGGTAAGAGCCTGTGCTGAAGGATTTTCCACACTGGTTACACTCATAAGGCTTTTCTCCAGTGTGAGAGCGTATGTGTTTCTTAAGGGATGACTGATCAATAAAGGCTTTTCCACAGTCACTGCATTCATACGGTTTCTCTCCAGTGTGGGTTCTCACATGTTTCTGAAGGGATGAAGGAACAGTGAAAGCCTTCCCACATTCTTTACAGTCATAGGGTTTCTCTCCAGTGTGAGTTCTTTTGTGCACATTCAGATGAGAGCTCTGGCTAAAGGATTTTCCACAGTGATCACACTCATAAGGCTTCTCTCCAGTATGAGATCTCGTGTGTTTCTGAAGGGAAGACCGAAAAATGAAGGCTTTCCCACAGTCACTGCATTCATAGGGCATCTCTCCAGTGTGAGTTCTGACACAGTTCTGAAGGGACAAAGGGTCAGTGAAAGTTTTCTCATGTTCATTACATTCCAGACCCTCCTCCACACTACCAATTTTTCTGTGGACACTAAGGGGAGATCTCTTGCCATAGTCACTGCATTCATCGCCTTTCTCTCCAGTAGGTATTTGCTCATGTACTGAGCAGGAAGAGTGAAGGCTGAAGGACATATCACATTGATCATACTCCTGACACTTCTCTCCTGTGGGAGTTCTTAAGTGTTTCCCAAGGGATGACTCTTGATTGAAAGCTTTTCCACAATCAGTAAATTCAAGAGTGTTCTCTCCAATGTGAATGCTCACATGACTCCTAAGAGTTGAGGGACGGTTGAAGACTTTGCCATACTCTGTATATTTATAGCATTTCTCTCCCTTGCAATATCTTGTACAAATAAAGAGAGTGTTCTTTCTGAATTTCCCACAATGGTTACACTCCAGGGAGTTCTTACCAGGTTGATTTTCTGCCTATTGAAAAGGGAGTAAGTGGTGACTAAAGGCTTTTTCACTTTCACCTTATTCACAGGAATTCTCTTCCATGAGGATTCTGCCATATATAGGAAGCACATGATCGTAACTGACATATTTACCATTTTCAGTATGTGCATATGACTTTTGCTCTATTAGCTTTTTCGAGTTGAATAAGCCCAGTCCTCTGTCCAAGACTCTATTCCTTCCCAGCAAGGGGCTTCTTTAATATAGTTTTTCTAATACTGAGTGAAGAATGAATGAATTATGTACTAAATACTTAACACTAAAATCATATTTAAGTAAATGTTTACTTGTGGTTATTCTCTGTGAGCCAGCCAGTGTTAACCTAGGTTTATACATTTCTCCAATTTCATGAAAATCAAACTCTCTCCTGAGATAGCTTTCTGGTGAAAGCTTGGTGCCTGAACTCTTCTTACCCCTGCTTTGGGTGCTGATGTTTTAACTCATTGAAATTCCCAGACTTCTTCTACAATGACCAGGTATAATTCCTAGTAAGTCTTACCATGTTTATGCCATTGGATGTTTTTCCCCCAGGAATGTTCTGCATAGCAATTGCATCTTTTGATTTAAGTCGAATTTCCCAGTCTGAAATAGCACAGGAAAATTTTTATAATTATTGGGAGAAAAGGTTGGGATGAAAGAAAAAGGAAGCGAGACCCTATCGATTTGTTTTCAAATAGTATCTTGCAAGTAGAGAAATGTGAGAGAGAAGACACAACCAGTGATTCACCAGTGATAGGAACAAGCAGTAGAAATGGGAGGTATTTTAGTTGGAAAGGACTGTGGAAGTTGGGAAATAAGACAGTATTATCTGGAAAATAGGAAGAACTAAACAAAAGGCATTCATGGAAATGTTACATTTACGGAGGGATTAAAACTTTTCTCAGAGACCAAATTAACACATGAATGATTGGACAGATGGTGAAACAGGAAGGAAGCTCATGTAATGGCCTCAGATTTCTTTTCCTGCACTGAGTGACATTCCCAAATGTACCAACCCTCAATGGCCAAGGCCATACTCTGTTCTGCCCAGGGCTCACCTGCACAGTCACCTTGTAGAATTCCTCTTTCATCTGTCTTCAGCTCTTCTTGATCCACCTTGGAGATCAGACTGTGTCTGCAGAGCTGATACCCTGCTCGTGCAGAAAGAGAGGATGTGGGAGAAATGTGTGAGAATTAAATATTCCACAAAACTGACTGCCGTACTTTGACTTTAATTAAAGGACTGCTAAAATAGTCAACTGCAGCTGTAGGAACAGCAAAACAATCAGAGCCGAGTTCGTTCTTTCACAAAGACCAAAAAGCATAGTCCATGCCCTACACGGAAGTGACCCTTGAAACCTATACACAAGATCAGACACAGATCACAAATTACCTAAAGCTATTAGTGATAGAGAAAATGAAATCAGTGCATTTTCTTTTTTTTTTTTTTTTTTTTTTTGAGACGGAGTCTCGCTCTGTCACCTGGGCTGGAGTGCAGTGGCCGGATCTCAGCTCACTGCAAGCTCCGCCTCCCGGGTTCACGCCATTCTCCTGCCTCAGCCTCCCGAGTAGCTAGGACTACAGGTGCCCGCCACCTCGCCCGGCTAGTTTTTTGTATTTTTTAGTAGAGACGGGGTTTCACCATGTTCGCCAGGATGGTCTCGATCTCCTGACCTCGTGATCCGCCCGTCTCGGCCTCCCAAAGTGCTGGGATTACAGGCTTGAGCCACCGCGCCCGGCCCATCAGTGCATTTTCATGGGAAGCCACTGGACTGCCCCCTCAAGGGCAGGGACCATTCATTTTGCCGTTAACCACTGTATTGCCATTCTTTTCACAGATTCTGGAATACAATATGCGCTTAAGAACTATCCGCTACATAAACAAATGAAGGAATGAGGCCAGCCTTACCCACTGAGGTCAGGTTCCTAAAGTTCTCCAGCATCACATCTTTGTATAGATTTTTTTGAGCACGGTCCAGCAATGCCCACTCCTCCTGGGAAAAGTCCACTGCCACTTCCTGGAAGGTCACGGAGTTCTAAAACATCACATACATATTCTGGCTCAGCCGATGACCATTTTTGACAATATACCAGGAGAATGGTGGGTGAGGCTGACAGGACTGGAGAGAAGACCCAGGGCACTGGAAACTCAGACATACATCAGAGGTCTTCTATTAATTTGTCTTAAAGCTGACTTCTCAGAACTCTCTTTAAATCCCACTCCCTGGGCCATTTCATTCAGGGTCATGGTCAAAACAGCTTTTCTAAAATATGGTTGGCTTGATCTTTGCACAGTGAGGCTGTGGGGACTCTTTTGGTCTTATTCAGATCTGGAATAGACAGGGCATACTCTAGGAATGCAAGAAATACTTGAGAAATGATAAACAGTTTTCCTAGTAAAAGTCTTTGTTTACAGCACTCACTAAAGTATGGAATTAATACTCAAAAATATGGAAGAATATCTGGAGAAAGTTAACAAATGTGGGAACACAAGCCTTTCCCAGGGATTCCCTCTTCCATATGAAGCAGCCTGGGAACTGCGGAAGATGAAGCCAGCTCAGATTGGGCTGTGAAGCTTCAGGTCAGGGGCAAGATATGTGTTCTTTTCAGGAATGGCAGTGTGCTTTTGGAAATCGAGAAATTTCTTGTGTACCTGTGACCAGGTTGTCAGCCACCCTGCAGCCATTCTTCTTCCTGTAGGTTTCCTTCCTGGCTGGGCAGAGTTCTAAGCAGGCAGAGCTAGAGGAGAAAACAGAAGCCATTAGAGTCTAGGCCTGCTAGATATTCAACACTAGCAGGCTCGGAAGCTTCTTCATACTAAGGAGTATACACACACATAGAGTTTAGTTACAATTTGTCTCCTTATCCAAGAACACATTATATCTTCAAATTAGAAATATATTATGCATGTTTCATTTTTTCTTATTGGACTTTTTCTAGCCTGAACCACTAAAAAGGCTTATGACTGCTAACAGCTCAGGAGGAATGAGCCTCTAAAGTGCAAAACTCTCTCTGAATACCATTTACCCATGACAGAAACCAGGACTCACTGGGGAAATAGCTGAGTCTGGTATAGAATAAGAAATCTTCAAGATGAGTTTGGAATATCTTATATCACACCTCACTTTCCTCATTGTTAGAATAGGACAGACTTCATAGGGTTGGGCTGAGTTAATATCCCTAAATTACTTAAAATAATAAGGAGTAACTCGTAAGGACCATAAAGGTGAGCATATTTGCATTTCATAATAAAAGGGTGACATTCCAGAACAACATTTAGTACACTTAGCTGTGTATGTGAAGTCATCAAAATCTGCTGCAAATCTTCCAGGACTCTGTCTTCTTAACTCAGTAGCCTACCTTCAAGGCCCACTTTGCCTGCCCGATTTTACTTTTTAAACTTTTTTGTTGTAAATGAAGACACATACGCATCAATCTAGGCCTACATAGGGTTAGGATCATGAATATCACTGTCTTACACCTTCTATCGTGTCCCATTTAAAGTATTCAGGGGCAATAAACATGCATGGAGCTGACATCTATGGTGACAATGCCTTCTGGAATCTCTTCTGAAGCATCTGCTTGAGGTTGTTTTTGAGTTAACTCTTCTTTTTTAGTAAGTAGAAGGAATACACTCTAAAATAACATAAATAGTATAAAAATAATATAAACCAGTAATGTGGTCACTTATTGCTATTATCCATTATTATGTACTATATATAATCTGTACTGTACATAATCATATGTACTATGGTTACATGACTGATAGTGCAGGTTTAAACCACGACATGTGAGTAATGTGCTTTACGATGTTACACTGGCTATGTCACTAGGTGATTGGAATTTTTTTAGCACCATTATGAGACCACTGTCACATATGTGGTCCATCGCTGACCAAAATGTCTTTATGCAGTGCATGACTGTACTACCAACCAAGAATGTTTTACCTGCCAAAAATGGCCTTCAGAAATGAAGAGAGAAAAACTTCCTTGGACAAACAAAAGATGAGGGGCTTCATGAGTAATGGAGCTGATTTATAGAAAATAGTAAATTCTTCAGCTTAAAAGAAAGGACACTTAGTAACATGAAAACGTATAAAATTATAAAACCCACTGGGATAAAGGTAATTATACACTCAATCCAGATTACCCTAATACTGTAACAGTAGTATCTAAATAACTTATAACTCTAGTATAAAAGATTAAAAGATTAAAAAGTTATAATAATTTGTTAATACACAATATAGAAAGATGTGAATTGTGATATCAAAAACATAAAATGTGGGAAATGGAAGTAAGAGTATAAATTGTATGCAATCAAAGCTAAGCTGTTAACAGCTTAAAACAGACTATTGAAACTACAGGATGTTGTAAGCTTCATAGTAGCCACGAAGCAAGAACCTATATTATGGAGAAAAGAGAAAGGAATCAAAGCAATCACTATATAAAGTCATCAAATCACAAAGGAAGACAGAAAGGGAGGAAGAAAGGAACATAACCAGCCACAAAAGAATGAATAAAATGGCAACAGTAAGTATTTACTTATCAATAATTACTTTAAATATAAATATACTCAGGAGGCTGAGGCGGGAGGATCACTTGAGAGCAGGCAGGAGTTTGAGACCAGCCTAGGCAACATAGCAAGACCACATCTCTACAGAAAATAATTTTAAAAAATTATCTGGGTGTGGTGGCATCTGCCTGTAGTTCCAGCTATTTGGTGGGCTAGGCTGGGAGGATTGCTTGAACTTGGGAGGGGTCGGAGTATGATCATGCCACTGCACTCCAGCCTGGGTGACAGAAATCCTATCTCCTTAAAGCAAACAAAAAAGTAAATGGATTAAATTCTCTAGTCAAAACATATAGTAGCTGACTGGATTAAAAAAGAAAGACCTAAGGTATATGCTGCCTACAAGAAACTCACTATAGCTTTAAGAATGCATGTATCCTGAAAGTAAAAAGATGGGAAAAGACATTCCACGTAAATGGGAACCAAAGAGAGCAAGGGTGAGTAGGAAAGATCTTATACAGCTTAATGTTACACCTCAAGTTACTAGAAAAAGCAGCAGCTAAGCCCAAAGTCAGCAGAAGGAAAAAAGAAGAAACTAAGCCCAAAGCCAGTAGAAGGAAGGAAATTAATAATAAAGATCATAGCAGAAATAAATGAGAAAGAGATAAGACAACAGAAAACATGGATGAAACTGAAAGTTGGTTGTATGAAAAGATAAACCAACAAAAACCTTTAGCCAGACTACCTAAGATTAAAATAGACAAGACTGAAGTAAAATTAGAAATGAAAGAGAAGGCATTACAACTGATAACTACAGAAATACAAAGGATCGTGAGACTATAATGAAATATTACATGCCAAAAAATTGGATAATCTAGAATAAATGGATAAATTCCTAAAAACACATAACCTGCTAAGACTGAATCATAAATAGAAAACCTGACAAGATCAATAAGAGTACGGAGATTAAATCAGTGAGGAAAAATCTTCCATCAGAGAAAAGCCCAGGACTTGGTGGCTTCACTGTTGAATTCTACCAAACATTTAAAGAATAATCCTTCTCAAACTTTTCCAAAAAAATGGAAGAAGAGCCCAACCAAGCTCTTCATTAAACTCATTTTATGAGGTCAGCATTACACTGATACCAAAGCCAGAAAAAAACACTTTAACAGTAAAAAACTACAAGCCAATATCCCTACTGAAAATAGATGCAAAACTCCTCAATAAAATACTAGCAAACCATATTCAACAGTACATTAAAAGGATCATACACCATGATCAAGTGGGATTTATCCCAGAAATTCAAGGATAGTTCAAGATATGTAAAATCAATGTGATATGCCATACTGACAGAATGAAGGATAAAAACTATATGATTAGAATAGATGCAGAAAAAGCACTTAGTAAAATTCAGCATTCTTCTGTGATAAAAACCCTCAACGAATTAGTTATAGAAGGAACGCACTTCAATACCAGTAAAGGCCAGAGGTGACAAAGCCACAGCTTATAGTCAATTATAAAAAATTGGAGGCTTTTCCTCTAAGATTGGGAACAAGATGCCCATCCTTGCCACTTCCAGTCAACATACGACTGGAAGTTCTAGGCAGAACAATTATGCAAGAAAACAAAAGGCATCTACGTTGGAAAAGAAGTAAAATTATCTGTTTGTAGATGACATGATAGTTTGATACAGTTTCACTTCATTATTTTTGCCTTTCTTGCCTGTGCTTTCGGTGTCAACTCCTTTAAAAAAACCAGTCAAGACCAGCCGGACCAACATGGTGAAACCCCGTCTCTACTAAAATGCAAAAATTAGCCAGGTGTGGTGGCGGGTGCCTGTAATCCCAGCTACTTGGGAGGGTGAGGCAGGAGAATCACTTGAACCTTGAACCTGGGAGACAGAGCGACACTCTCTCTCAAAAAAAAAAAAAAAAAAAAAAAAAACTGAATTATGAAAGGAAGCAAGGGAGAAAACGGATGTAGTAAGAATGGCAAAATGGTGACAATCATTGAAGCTGGGTGGCAGGTACCTCCTAGTAGCTTCATCATAGCACTCTATTCCTGGGTATGACTGAAAATCCATGGTGAAAAGCTTTTTAAAAAGAAAGTAAAATTTCCATATGAAAACATGAAGCAAGGAACTGTACATGTCAGGCACAATAGAAAGAAAATCTCTCTTGAGGATTTGTATATGCAAGTGTTCTGTTTTAGGTTTCAGTCCAAATTCATTTGTGTAGTTCAAACAACCTCAAGAGATAATTTCACTTTAAGAGGGTCCTAAGTGGCATTATCCCCAAGCAACTAGTGCAAGCAAATGGACCTATCTCTGGAAAATCAACTTTAAGTCAGGTCTTGAGAAAAATCATATATGCAAAGTTCTAAGTAAACTGAGGAAGGCACAGTTTAAGAAACAAACACAAATATGCAATGTACCATGTGTAAGACACAACTAAAACACAGCTATCAGGTGGAAAAGCCTAACACTTCAGATATTATCCTTTTAGACATACTTTAAAAAATATAAAAGCTTAAAGAAATTAACAAAAATTTGAATGGATGTGGAATACTATAAAATGGTTAATTAGTTTAAAAAGCAATTTTTAGAAATGAAAAATAAACCCACTGAAATGAGAAATTCAATGCCAGTATTAACTACTATATTAGAACTTTGATAGCACTATTAGATGAAAACCTAGCAATTTTCTTGAATTAGTGAAAGACACTAACCTTTGGGTACTGGAAGTATTATAAGCCCCAAGCTGAATACATAAAAAGAAATCCACATCTAATTTCATTATAGATTTTTCTTCCTTGGTATTTGATTTTTTCCATAATTTCCAAAGCAGCCAGGAGAAAAACACACGTCACCTATAAAAGGAAAAACAGACTGATAGTTGACGTCTCAACAGCAACAATGGACATCAGAAGAAAGCAGGACTATGTCTTCAGTGTGCTGAGAAAAAAATGACTTATCAACCTAGAATGCTAGACAGTTAAACTATCTAGCTGCTCTTTATAGGAAATACAAAGATAACCAGTTTAAGCAATGAAAACAAACCAGTCAGCAAAATCCAAATATTATGTGGGATATTTTAAGAACAAATAACTTTATTTCTTCAATAAATCAGTGGATTAAAAAAATGAAAAGGGAGGAGGAAGAGAAGAGACACAACAGAATAAGGGGTATAAAATAAAAAAAATGGAGACCCTGTTAAGTTTCTCATTTGAACAAACC